TTTACCATGAAAATCACATAATCGTTGGACAACGTGGCATTTCGACGAATTTTATGAGCTTTTTAAATACAGTTTACTACTAAAATTAAAATTTATTCTGAAAATCTCGTAATTGTGGGACAACGTGGCATTTTGAAGAACTCTATTACTAGTAAAATGTATGGTAAAATTTTACAAACTCATAAAATTCTTCGAAGTGCCGTGTTGTCCCACAACTACATAATTTTCAGGACAAATTTTAAGAGAAAATTCTCTCCGCATACAAGAACTGAACATCGGCTAATTAATTTCTCACGCGCACTCGCTTTCGGAAAAGAACGCCGCTCCTTTGACGGATACGTAGACACTCCGCTGCGTAGTGCTTGGGTCTACAATCTCTTCTCTTCGTACAAATCAGGTGTAATCTATGTGGTGGATGAGCTGGATTATGAGCAGAAGAAGCAGTACGAGCTGACCGTGCGCGCCACCGACAGCGTGTCAGGCGTTTACGCGGAGGTGCTCGTCAGCATCCTCGTCCTGGACGTGAACGACTGTCCGCCCGAGTTCACGCAGGATTCCTACAATATCTCGGTGTCGGAGGCGGCGGTATTCGGGACCCCCGTCCTGCGAGTGAACTCCAGAGACAATGACACGGGTAAGCGTAGAACAAATCGTGTTTTCTTCCTGCTGAAAATCGAATCGCCGTCCCCTGGTTCCATGCATATGGATGAAATTTGGAGAAAGTTAATTATCATTAATCAAATCCATATTCATTTTCGCCCCAGGCATCAATCAACAAGTTCGTTACGCCATTCAAAACGACACCGAGGACAGCACGGACCTCTTCCATATCGATCCCGACGAGGGGGTGATATTTCTCAAACGGTCCTTGGACCACGAGAGCCGCGAGTCCCATCACTTCACCGTGATCGCCATGGACCGCGGCGTGCCGAGTCTGTCGAGCACGGCGCACGTCTGGGTGAGCGTGATCGATATGAACGACAATCCGCCCAAGTTCGAGCAGCCCTCGTACACCTGTTCCCTGTCGGAACACGCCGAGCGCGGCCAATTCGTGACGGTGGTGTCGGCCAGCGATCCCGACTACGTCGACGAAAAGTTGACGTACACCATCGTAGGCGGGAACGAGCAGCAGACTTACAACATCGACCAGTCGACCGGCGTCATCTCGCTGATAAACATGCAGAATTTCGGCGAGCAAAAGCTCAGCATGCTCAACGTGTCCGTCACCGACGGCGTCTACACCAGCTTCGCCCGCGTCAAGATCGAGATTCTGCCCGCGAACAGGCACAATCCGAAATTCCCGAACCCAGTGGTCGAGGTGACCGTCCTGGAGAACCAGCTGCCCGGCAGATTGGTCACCAGCGTGCTGGCCGCGGACGAGGACTTCGGCGAGTACGGCGCGGTGACGTATGCGATAATGTCGGAGATGATGAAGGAGGTGTTCGACATAAATAAGCTCACCGGCGAGATAGTGACGCGTAAAAAGCTCGATCGGGAGGAGCAGAAGCGCTACGAGATACCGGTCATGGCGATGGACGGAGGCGGCAGGTCCGGGTTCGTGATGGTGCGAGTCAAGGTGGGCGACGAGAACGACAACGCGCCGGTGTTCCTCCTTAGCGAGTACAAAGCGACTATCCAGGGCAATCTGTCCCTGAACACGCCCTTCCTGAAAGTCCGGGCACAGGACGCGGACGAGGACGAGGCGGCCAAGATCGTGTATTCCATCTACGAGCCGCAAACGTCACCAGCCAGGTCTCTGTTCGGCATAAATCCCGATACTGGATCTCTCTATCTGCAGAAGAGCGCCGTGCCGTGGGGTAAGAGACATGTTTCTTTTATGCCGAGAGCATAAATACGAGACGTATACTCAAAGGTCTTGCATGGCAAACAAATATTTGTTTACTTTCAGAAAACCAATTGTTCGAGTTGTTTATTCGCGCGGAGGACAAAGGCACGACTACGCATCATGCCGATGTGCCGCTGAGTATTTACATAATGGGTTCTCGCGACATCCCGCCGCTCTTTGAGCGAAAAGAGGATAAATTCTTCGTAAGAGAGGACTCTTCCGTCGGCACGCCGATCACGAAACTCAAGACCGTCACGAATAGCACTGTGACGTATCGCATAGTGTCCGGCGACGAGGACAATCCGCTCTTTAAGATCGACTCTCACGGCCAGGTCACCCTGGCGAGACCGTTGGACCGCGAGCTGAAAGACAGCCATTTGATCGGGGTCCTCGCCGAGACGGATTCCAGCCCACCGCTCACGGCTCTCGCCGAGATCTCCCTTCAGGTGCTGGACGAGAACGATCACGCTCCGAAATTCGAGAGCAATCCGTACGCGATCAGCTTAGCCGAGAACATCGAGGAGGGCACGTCGATATTGAAGGTCATCGCGCACGACAAAGATCTCGGTAGCAACGGCGAGGTGCGTTACTCCTTTGGATCCGACATAGGGGAATTGGCCAACGTTTTCACGGTGGACGCCTACACTGGTTGGGTGTCGACGTTGGTGCAGCTCGACAAGGAGAAACAACCGGAGTACAAGTTTCAGGTAACATAAACTCAATACACTAACAATATTCCGATATATTTCCAAAGGAATGTGTCAAGCATTCGTGCAACTATCTCTTTCCAGGTGGTCGCCACTGACAATGGAAATCCGAAACACTTCGCGAGGGCGTCGGTGCACGTCAAGTTGAAGGATTATAACGACAACGCGCCCGCGTTCGTCGACGATCGTTACGAGGCCACGGTGAACGAGGACGCTCTACCGGGCACGGTTGTGGTGAAACTGATCACCGTTGATAAAGACACGGATGTCAATACGCCGATAGAGTTTTACATAACGTCCGGTGATCCTAGATCGCAATTTCAAATCAGATCCACCGGCGAGGTGTACGTGGCGAAAGCCTTGGACAGAGAGACCATCGATCGTTACGAGCTTCAGATCGTTGGCACCGACGGGAAATACGTTTTCGAGACGAAAGTAACGGTGCAGGTCTTGGATGTCAACGACAATCCGCCGTATTGTCTCAGGTACCGTTACAGAGAGATACTTTCCGAGGGCTCGCATCCTGGCGCCTACGTCCTGACCGTGTTGGCCACCGACTACGACGACGAGCCGAACGCCAAGCTACGGTTTTACCTGACCGGCGACAATAACGACAAATTCTCGCTGGATAAGGAGACGGGCGTGCTGAAGACCGTCGGGCAGCTCGACCGAGAGACTCAGGCCAAGTATTCCTTGACGGCCCACGTGCAGGACCGGGACAAGCCGACCTGGGAGTGCTCGTCGCAGCTGGAGATTCTCGTTTCCGATCTCAACGACAACGCGCCGAAATTCACCATGTCAACTTACAGCAGCACCTTGCCCGAGGACGTGGAGATCGGCACGCTAGTGACCAAGGTACACGCTACGGACAACGATATCGGCATCAATCGGAAGATCCGGTACGAGTTTATCGACTCGGCGGACGGCCACTTTCTCATCGCGGCGGACAGTGGAATAGTCACGCTGGCCAAGCCGCTGGACAGAGAGACGAAGGCCATGTACAACGTTACTATCCAGGCGCTCGATCAGGGCACTCCTCAGTTAATGGGGGTCGCCTCCCTGATCGTCAACGTGCAGGACATCAACGACAATCCACCGGAATTCACCTCTAAGCTCTACTTCGCGAAAGTGCCCGAGATCTACGCGGTTGGTACGGAGGTGGCGCGGGTGCTCGCCACCTCCAAGGACACGGGGGTGAACGCCGATATATATTACTCGATCGTCGGTGGTAACGAGCACAAGAAGTTCCAGATAGACGCCAAGTCGGGCGTCTTGACCATCTCCGAGCAGCTGGACTACGAACGGGCGCGCGATTACTTCCTCACCATCCAAGCCGTCGACGGAGGCATCCCGCCGCTGAGCAATCACGCCACTGTCAATATCACCGTCACCGACAGCAACGACAACGCGCCGATCTTCAGCGAGGTTTCGTACAGAGCCTTCGTGAGAGAGGATGCGAAAATCGGGGAGAAAGTTACGCAGGTGAGTTTCTCTCGAGTCTTCTCACTAACATTTCCATCCTCCAAAAGACACAGTGCTGCAATTTGTCCAGCCTCAGAATTTATTTTTGACTCGCATTATAGTGGATTGACATTTTTTCACGTAAAGTTTCTTTGCGGGACAGGGCTGGGAATTGAACTTCTCTCTTTCTCTCTCGATTTAGTTCGTCTGTTGACTATTACAATGCAAGCTTTGCAGTACTATCTGATTGTACTATGTAACATACAAAACAACACATGATATACAATTATAAATAATTGTAAATAGAAAATTAATTTTATGCAACACGAAACTTTGTCTTATATTTTATTCGACGTCTCAGGTGTACGCAAATGATTTGGACAGCGAGGAGAATGGCAATGTGTCGTACTACATAGAACGCGGCGACAGGCAGAAGCAGTTCTCCATCGACAGAAAGACCGGCCAAATAACTGTCGCCGCGCCACTGGACCGAGAGGAAGTTAGTGTTGAACACAACGCATTAAACAAAGTATAAGCATAAGCAAAGTACTCGGCTAAACTTTCCACTTTCTCTTCCAGATTGCGGGCTACATACTGGAGGTTCACGCGCGCGACAACGGCATACCGAT